TGCATGAAGCCAATAGTCTCTCTCTCTCCCCACCCCCGAGAACGGAGCTGGAGATGGTACCCTGCGATCCCAAATAAAGAATGATTGATAGGTAGGAAAACGGGGTGGGGAATTTTCCTGCAGACTTTTTGGGGGATTTTCCCAGGGTCTCTGCTGCTTTCTGCAGAGAACATGGGAAAATGTCAGCAAGCCACTGTCAGTCAAAATCCATATTAGTGGTCTCCAGGATTTAAAATTATGAGTTTAGTGGTCCCTGAGGTCCAAAAGTTTGGTGACCCCTGCTCTAAAACATCAAACCAGAATCAAGATAATTTCTCATGGAACCATGCTTTCTCATTCTCCAGCTGTTATGGAAAACTTGCCTCCAAATTCCTGCAGATTGACAAAAAGAAGTATGGAAATTTATTTTTTTAATATAACCACATCTTTCCAGAATTGTAGATTTTTGATGCTGTACTTTATTCCTCAGGAGCAATAGTCTCTTCTGTTGAATACATTTTTTCTATACCGAGCAACTGATTCATAGAGAAGTTTTATGTGACAAAAATAAAATAATTGACAGCACAATTATATAATAATTTATTTCCCAGATGATGTTAGTCCAGGGCACCTCTAGGTATTTTCACATGGAATACGGTGCTTTCATGCTCTTCTGCCTCATCTGAGTTTCCATGGTGACATGGCTCAAACATTTCTGAGAAAGGTGAAATATAAAGCCATCTGTTCGTCAATATTTAGGGCTTTCAGTATTTAAATGAAACAACCAACACGAAAGAGAGCCAACAAACAGGGCAGAGAACCTACTTCTCCTTGGCCTCAGGATGTCTGACTGTTTCTCTTATTCAAGAGTGCACTGTGGTCCCTCGTTCTGCTTTCTCTAGCTGGTGCAGGGAATAATTGATTTCAACCAGGATGTTTGGGCACTGCATTATTTGGATACTGCAAAGCAGCTTATTGCAGATATTTTTACATTAAGCAAAATGGATATCAACATGATTCAATCAGGCCTTAGAGTTCATTTGGCACATAATCAGGTGTCAAAGCCATATTTCTGAGAAGGTATTCTGCTTAAAATGCTGGGGCTGAACAAAATGCATCTGTGGCATCAAGGTTCTTCAAACCCCTGACCTGTTTAGTCAAACTAAACATCCCTATCATTGATTTATATTGTCTTGTGTAATTTTAGATGGTGATTGTTTCTGCAGAGCTCCAGGTTCTGCAATAACTACTGCAAACCAAAACGGGTTTAATAGCATCTTTTCAGACTAATACATAGCATGAAAAAAGATAAGCTTTTGTGAGCTGCAGCTGCTCATCAGATGTTTATGCCTTTTAATGCAATATGTTAGTATGAAAAGGTGATGATTTAGGGCTATCATAGACTAACATGGCTCTCTTCTCTATGTCAGCAAATACTGGGGTATCTTTCAACCTGGAGGCATCCTTGTTCTTTCTCCTAATCCCTTGCTCATTAAAAGTGGGTATCTGAAACAATTAGGGATACAATAATTTGCTAAAGTTATTTAGGACTAGAAAGCACCCCTCAAAATACTTAAAACACTTAATTCTTTATTAATCTTTCACATATGGGTTTATGAACTCATTCAGACCAAATAAGGTCAGACTTCCACCCAAGGATAGGCTGATGGTAGGTATCATTCCCTGGCACAGGCACTCTGAGATGCCCTACTTAAATGTGCCCATGCACTTAAAAGCTTGCATCTGGGTAATGCTTCTTCAAATGCATCCAAAAGGCTACAGCAAAAGTATATCACCACACGGGCATCATGTTAAGCTGCTAAATGCCACTAACACTGGGGCTATTCTCTCCACAAAAAGCAATGCTGATTAAGAGCCAAAGGTCAGTTTCGGAATCAGTTTTCAATGCCAGAATTCAGCT